GCGGTCGGGTGTCCCGCTCCGGAGGCACGGCCGGTCTTGTTTCCGATCACGCGCCGTGCAGCCGTGTCAGCTATCACGGCCGCACCAGTCGATATGGGCGGGCGGATGCTGGCGCCGTGGTACAGGTGGCCCCAGTGCCCGCTGCGTCGACGACCGCTGACGCAACTCGGAATAGATTAAGCGGATGCTCTCCACAAAAACTGAGATACTCCCAGAAAGAGTTTGTTCAAGGCGGTAGAAGTGCAATGGTGGCAGTGCCTTACTGATAGGGCTTCTTCATCCGCACGAAATCACCTTCCACAACGCGCGACGATGCCACCGACTACTCAATGTTGAATCAGCTGGCACAGCGGTGTCCGTCTCTAAGACGCAGTGAGCTAGAATCGCTTTTGAACTAGGGTGGGAGTGAAAAATTTCAGCACAAAAAGACCGTAAAGAGTGACAAATTCAATTCACAAACGATGGAAGGTATGGGCTAGTGAGAGATGCTTCAACAAACAACGACATGTCAAGTTGGTATAGACGTAATATCATAAACCTGTCAAAACTGTTTTGTTTTGTAAACACCTCAGGCCATTAAAGTGAAACAGAATACATTAAAGCATAGTAATTTCATGACAGTGTAATGAACATAACAAAACTATGAAACACCAAAAATTTCATGAAGCACTTTGCACTTCCCTTCCACGGCATTTTTTAACACAAAAAAGTGAAGGAATTCAACAACAAAACAACAACAGAAAATTCAACAAGCATAAAACACTCAGACCCAAAAAAACTTGGACTCCTCCACATCAGCCCATCACCAAGTCAGACACAATAGGCGTACCTCTGGCCTCCGTTAAAATGGGGTCAGGGAAAACAAACATTACGTCATTGTTTCTTACAAAATACCAATGCTTATTTCCATGGAAGTAGCCTAGCTATGCCTCACCCAAAGAGGCCTTACCTCATCTCATCCTGTCTAACCTGTTCGTATCACAGCAGCATTCGTGAGTCACTGATTCTTGCACAATTCCTATTGCCACTTGCCACGCAATTAACCACTTAGCCTGCCTTGGAGAAGCCCATATGCTGAACCTCGTCACAGCCTCGTCACAGCCTCGTCACAGTCCACGCAGCGCATGCGTCATGCGGGCGTTGTGTCCCTTCCGCTCACACGCACAACCTCAACGGCGAGCCCAGCTCCGTGCCGCAGGGCAGGTGCCTACGCCACAACTGTGCGCGCATGGAATAGGATGTCTTCGGGGTGGATCCTTTCCTTCATTCGCGGCGCAGCATGATAAGTCAACTGCAGGTTCTACATTTGATGAAGGGAGTTGGAGCGTGAGGTCTTTCCAAATAAAACATTATTAAACGGAACACATATTGCCTCCATGAGGCCATACCTAATGCGTGGAAAACTCCCCATGAAAATGTCGTATCATAATGCAGCAAATGTAAGTGTGTCACCGAAGGAAGCCAAAAGCGTAGCTCCCTCGCATGACACCTGTTAGCATAGCCATAAATGGTGCCGGACCTGGCGAGGCGGGTAGATCTGCGACACCCTGCCGCAGCCCCGGTCAGCCCCGGTCGCCGGGATTCGTGCAGTGTTCAACATGGCCGACGCTGCCCCGTCCGGGCGGCGACACGGCATGCAGCTGAGACGGCACGGAGGCGCGTGCCGGGCACGGTCACGCGTCCCTATGACGGCACGTGGCATCATCTGCTGAACAACCTGCTGAACGTGGCATCATCTGCATCATCTGCTGAACTGCACCGTTCAGCCGGCCCAGCAGCATGCCCAGGGATGACGCGCCGCGGCGCGGGCCGGCCGAGCTTTACCAGCGGGCCATCCGGCACCGAGCCTGCCCTTCGATGAGCTCAGGTGACCCGGCGAGCCCTTCGGTGGGGTCAGATGACCCGGCGAGCCCTTCGGTGGGGTCAGGTGACCCCGCGAGCCCTTCGGTGGGGTCAGATGACCCGGACAGCCTGCCCTCTCCGCCATATGGCCCGAACAGCCTGAACGCCGCCAGATGACCCGGACAGTCCTGAACTCCCCGCAGATGGCCCGAACAGCCCCGATCCCGCCGCCATATGACCCGAACAGCCTGAACGCCGCCGCCAGATGACCTGAACAGCCCCGATCCCACCGCCAGATGACCCCGACAGCCCCGACCCCACCGCCAGATGACCCCGACAGCCCCCAACCGCCGCCAGATGACCTGAAGGGTCCCGACCCGCTGCCAGATGACCCCGACAGCCCCGACACCGCCGACAAATGACCCGAACAGCCCCGACCCCGCCGCCAGATGGCCTGGACAGCACAGACCTGCCCGCCAGTTGACCCGAAGGGCCGCCTCTCCGCCGCCGCCACATGACCCGAACAGCCCCAACCCCGCTGCCAGATGACCCGGACAGCCCGACTCCGCCGCCAAATGACCCCGACAGTCCCAACGCAGCCGCTTGGCCTGGCGCTCGATCCGACAGTGCGTGGGTGCGTGACGCCTACCGGTGCCTTCGCAGACCGCCTTCGGGGCGAGCGAGCTTGTTTGCCAATGGTCCGCTGGGAACGCGTGTTACAGTGACGTCACGACCAGGGCGGTGTTGATCTAAGCAGTGCGTCAGTGACACATTTGCACCGAAATTATTTCTTTTCAGGATGACATGTTGAACGAGATATTTAAAAGGTTTGTGTCTGAGATCTTTGACGAGAAGAAGTGCATCTTGCGAGAATGGACAATGGCAAGAAAAGTTGGTTAGGCAAATATAAAATCAAACAAGCACGATTTTGCACGAAATTGCACGAGCATTCTACGATCATGACTTCCATTCGTCCAAACGGCACCTTTCATTGGGAAAGCCCGTATACAAGTGGCCACTACAGTAAATGTTGACGTGTCTGTTGCCTTACCCCCAACTCCGCATTTTCCAAGGCGACTGCTGGACGCCTTTGGCCCATATTCACTTGGATAATGTGATTGGCACGTGCGTTTACCGAGCCAAATGGTCCACCGCAGTCAGAGTTTGCTGATGTAAAGGTCATGACCTAACGCTCTGATACTTCTGCACGCTCTGCTTGGCAAGAGCAGCAGACAGCTTTTATATGTTACCAGTCAGCTAAGACAACTTGGTGGTCGTTTCCTTTCGTATCGCGTTTTCAACAGCATTAACACGACACAACATTTTGAGGGAAAATGGTTACCATTGCTTGAATGTTCCTGCACCTTTATCGCTTTAACCACCAGATGGGGTGGATGAGAAACGTAAGAATGGCCTAGACCGACTTTGAAAAGGCGACATGGCCCGTTTCCTTGGAGACCTGCGCCGAGCCTGTCTGATTGGCGGTGTTAAAATGGCTGCGTCATTTGAACAGAGTTCACTCGCCTCATCAACTCCCTTCGCCGCAAGTTTGTATTTGAACTCCGGTCAGCGTAATTTGGCGTCAATTCCAAACTAGCGTCTAATATAGGCGGGTCAATCATTTGGAGCTGTCAGCATGGTCGGTAAGTGTGGGCGATGGAGCTGTCAGCTTGGTCGGTAAGTACAGGTGATGGAACTGTCAGCTTAGTCGGCAAGTACAGGTGATGGAGCTGCCAGCTTGGTCGGCAGGTACAGGGGATGGAACTGTCAGCATGGTCGGCAAGTACAGGTGATGGAACTATTAGCTTGGTCCATAAGAACGGGTGATGGAGCTGTCAGCATGGTCGGCAAGTACAGGTGATGGAGCTGTCAGCTTAGTCGGCAAGTACAGGTGATGGAGCTGTCAGCTTGGTCGGCAGGTACAGGGGATGAAACTGTCAGCATGGTCGGCAAGTACAGGTGATGGAACTATTAGCTTGGTCCATAAGTACGGGTGATGGAGCTGTCAGCATGGTCGGCAAGTACAGGTGATGGAGCTTTCAGCTTGGTCGGCAGGTACAGGGGATGGAACTGTCAGCATGGTCGGCAAGTACAGGTGATGGAGCTGTCAGCTTGGTCGGCAAGTACAGGTGATGGAGCTGTCAGCTTGGTCGGCAAGTACAGGTGATGGAACTGTGAGCTTGGTCGGCAGGTACACGTGATCTACTGTCATCAGGGACGAACACGTGTGGCAACACGATGGCCCGGCCCTCTCCGCCCATTCGTGATAATCACGCATCCTGGGCGCGTTACACCAGCCTGCTACGACCATGACTTGCAGCTGGAAGAGCCAGTTGGGGAAACGGCACGCGACGGATCGGAAAACGGCCGGGACAGCCAATCTCACTACGCTAAGCCGGCCCAGCCAGGTCTGCGGGCCCCCACCTGGCCTGGCAGACGGGTGGCTGGCGGAGTCTCAGCTGCCTCCAAGTGCACATCCGCTGGAGGGGCCACGTCCGGGAAGGCCAATGTTTGGTCCGTGCATGCAGCGACGCCGTGACAAGACAGGCGCACTCAGAGCTGGACGGCAGCCTTGACCACCGGGGCCGCAGCGTCCTGACAGCCGGCGCAGCCGTACTACAGCACCCTCGGACCGGCCATCGCCCCTTGTCGCCAAGCCCCCCGAGACACAGCATCGCCATGACTTGCCAGGCTATCCTCTCAGCCGCCCGGCCACAAACTGAGGCAGGCTGACCGTCACCAGACGCCGCATGTGGGCTGAGACGGTCTCGGGCGGAACGTCGTGGGGCCGCGGAAGAGTTCCTGGACTCGCGAACCGCCCAGACCGACTGACGCTCGACGTCCCGTTGACCTCACACGGAGCAGTGCGGGCCCAAACGCCTCGAATAGCCCACAGGCGACCACCCGGCGCACAGGTGAGGCTCGGACGCACAGCACACCGAACTGCCACCGGGGTGCCGTACCGGCGCGAGCGGAGGGAACCGGCGCGTGGCTCTGTTGCCGGACACCCAGCCGAGGAGCATCAACGCTCAGAGAGACGAGCTCAGCAAGCTCCTCTCTCCCCGACTCCTGGAATCCGGCGGGCCGAACAAAGGGGGCGGTCGCCTGACAAAGGAGGGTAGGGACACCCTAGCGGCGGCGTCCAAGCACGCACCCACCTCCGTTTTGGTAATCCTGTGCCGGGCGAGCTTGACCACGGCGAAGTTACCCTTGCCGATGGTCTTCTCAATGTCGTAGAAGCCCACACGCACTGGCTGAGTGGTCTTCACACTCATGACCATAGTTTTCGCGGGCTGTGAGGCGTCCCCGCATGCCACCCGCGCGCGCGCGGAGCCGACTGCCGGCCACGACCGGACGGACCAACACGATCGGAACAGCTGCCGTGACGTCACCGCTGACGTCACGTGACGTCAGAGGCAGCACGCAGCGCCCGACTTTTGTCACGCCGCCGCGCCCACGGTCCGGTGGCGGGCGGGACGCCCGCGAGCCGGTGCCGTCCGGTGCAGCTGCTGCCGGCGTGGGCAGGGGACGCCGGCCTGGCACGGACGTGACAATATTGGGCCACGGACAGAGAGCAGCCGGCTGAAGAAGGGGGGGGGGGAGGGGGGCTCTGTCTGGAGGGAGGGAGGATTTACCGGCGGCCCGCGGAACGGCCCTTGTTTTGTACGTAGCCTCAGCGCGGCGCGATACCAGCGAATAATAGCGCATGGGTGTCGATTTCTCAAATTGGATTGGGAGGCCATATATCGAAGCCGCCAGAAAGCTCGAGCTCGAAGAGCAGGAAGAATCCTCGGATTTCACTGACTATTATTTCGAGCATTCTCATGTTTGCTTGACACTTTCCTTGTTCTCAGTCAGTGGTGCACGCAGCTGCGGGTAATCCCTGGTGGGGGCCGTTAGGGTATCACTTCCTTCAAACGGTTGGGGGCTAACCCAATAAAGTTGGCCTAACCCAAACCAAATTTTGGATTTCCGTCCGAATTTAGACCACTTTAATTTGCGTCCCTTATGCCAAAATTACGATGAAAAATATATGTTTGTTTGCTTCCTTTTTTCCTTTCGGTGCTAAGGAATAACTTCCTATGTTCAGCTACTCTGGTGGTCACAATGATGAAATATGACCTTTTGTTGAACAGTTGATTCGAGCGCTTTGAATGGATGGATTTCTGGGATCAGAGCTCACACTAGGCAATGCTTGTTGTGTGAACTGTGACCCGTACCATGCCATTGTGCCACTCCAGGTCAACGGGAGTATTTGGTGGCAAATGTTTCAAGTGTCGCAATACTCGACACGGCCCGCCTTCCCTTTTGACCTCACTTGACCTTCAGCGCGACCGCTGCCACAGGTTGCAGGTCATACCTGTCAAGAATAAACAGCGAGCGTCTAGAGTGATTCGAGTTCACCTCGCCACGGGTGAGTGGGTTGGAAGGTTCCCCCCCCCCCCCCTCCCCCACAGGCACGAATTGAGCCATCAGATGCACTTATGCGAGCATTGATAGAGATGTGCTTAGGCGCCTACTGTACCAGCAGTGCCGATTCCTTACTAGCCCAGTATTCCCATTTTTGTTCATATGCATTGGGGTGGGGTGGGTTGGGGTGGGTGGGTGGGGATGGGGGTCAGAAAATCACTGAGGGGCTCACGGTAGCTCACGGCAAACCCTGCTGCGAACTCACGGCTCACGACGGGATCTCTTCGGGCCCCTCTGAAGTACCCTTTGAACACTGCCCCAGGCCTGCCCCTGGCTCCTTGTCAATACGGGGCATTGTTAGGCACTGTTGGCCCCTGACAGACACAGGTGACTACCCCTTGACTCAGGGGCTCCGAGAAATATAAATCACGGGCCCTGGCCTTCTACCCGTTTGGTACACGGACCCTCAGTCCTAGACCTGACCATGGAATAATCTAGTGGTGAATCCGCCGCGTGTGAGGTTGTGGAGCATCCACCACAGTGGTGTAGTTTGCAAAAAGGCTTGGGAGGCTGAACGGGAAACGCTGGCACTACGTACACAAAAGGCAAGTTTCTCCCAGTGCTCGACCACTTACCCCTTAACGATATTGTGAAGTTGGAGTTGGCCCAACCTTAAAAGGAAACTACAGTCATGTTGTAATGTATCTTCCTCGCTCTGTCTTGGCTGGAAATGTTGTCGTTGGACGTCATTATCTCATAAGCGCCAACCGTCGAAAGCAAGGTTTGGTTACTGACGTGGCGCTGTTGTTATGCGGCTTCAGGCAGGTGCGCCTGCGTATCCGACGCCGAAGCAAAGACTGTGAGATGATGTGCGCAGCTATTTAAGGCTGCAGCGAACACCCTGGTCGGTGGCCGTAAGGCGGGTTGCAGACTGCAACGCAGCACTGGCGTTAGGCATGCTCGACGAGGCTAGGGCTGTTTTGGAGGTCACTGTCGGACGACTGCCACTGTCGGTTCAGGCAGCTGGTGTCGATCGTCAGGTCTTCCTAACTGTGCCATCGAGTTTATAGTTGAAATACTTCGAGCTCAGATACCTGAAGTTACACCGCGTCTGTTAATAAGACGTAGAGCCGAAATAATGTAACTTATCGCAGTTCGTCATCTTGCTGCTGCAAACTAGACCAGAGTCACAAATGCACACGAATCGGGCAATTAAAAACATGCAGCATGCAGAACAAATACAAAATGCTCAAGCAAACACTGTACGAGCGCGGAATTTTAAAAGAATGTTTAGCTCAGTCAGGTACACTCACTAAACACAATACCACAGCTTTCATTTTCTTTTTTTCCCATTATACCCTGAAACATTGTTTGAAAGTGAGGAAACATTGTTTGAAACAGAGATAAGTTTGGGCTAAAACTTGTTATGTCCTGCATGCATTTGGGGTACAGAAGATTCGGTGGGTGGGGAGAGGAGCAATGACTTGCCCAAAAATACAGGTCGATACCCCTGTGGCTGGACTTTGGTATCCCCAAAAGCTCTGGATTTTTTCCATTTCATTTCCAGACTCCTCGTTTTCCATTCATTTGTAGACGGGAAACCATCCAGATGAGCGCTGTCCTGGACTACCAGACATAGCACAGAGGCACATGAAGCGTTATCCTGGACTACCAGACATAGCACAGAGGCACATGAAGCGCTATCCTGGACTACCAGACATAGCACAGAGGCAGATGAAGCGCTATCCCGGACTACCAGACATAGCACAGAGGCACATGAAGCCCTATCCTGGACTACCAGACATAGCACGGAGGCACGTGAAGCGCGCCCATTTTCTCCAGGCACTGGTAGCTCTAGCCATTTTAAGGCTGAACTTTTCGCAAAAGACTTGGTAAAGTAAGTTAAAATTGGCTGCCAAAACCATTAAGCTCAAGCACGATAATGGATCTGAATGGCAAGCTACCGTTATGCACGGCAAAGCAACCAGAACAAAATTATGTCACGGATCTGACCTGCAGTGAACAGTTTATCACGATAACAGAAACTTTCACTAGAATTGTAATCATGATTTGTGATGAACCAAGTAACGTTGCATGATGGGCGCATTCAGGTGTTGGTGGTGGCAGCCAAAAGGGGTGAATGCGGCTAAATTTTTAGACTTGATGCTATACATTTCTTGGCTGTGCAAAGAAGGGTCAATTTCCCGGGATGTACAATAATTTTGGTGTGAATAAACAGCGAGAATAAGAGCACGTTATGCTGTACAAGTTATAACTGTCAGGAAGGAGTAAAAATGTTTTCACATTCACATTGTGTGTTGGAGAGTGCCACTAGCCAGGCTAAGTAATATGGGTATCATAGCTGTCAAGTAAACTAAACGAAGTGCGTAAGCGGAGATCAGTTATCTTAAATATTTGGATTTACAAGTCCGTGGGCATGTGCGGTTACTGCCACGTGCAGCAAAACGACGATAAAAATACCCACTATTGTGCAAGATCTTGGACCTCCGTACTTGGATTTGTTTCGCCCCATTTATATCGACCAAAAATGTCTGGTGACACGTGCAGTTGTGTTGTAGCGTTGACATATTCTTGTTCTTATTATCCTTATTTTGTTAACAACGCACATAGATTGAAGACAAGTAGGCTGTTTTTTATATCCTAGCTCACATGCACTGCAAATGGCGCATGGTCATGCACGCTACATTTGACCGAAGCGTTTATTTCTGTTTGAGTTATGGATTGATCAAGATGGGGTCAAGATCACGGAAAGACGCCTTGTGTTCAAAATATGAAAAACATGCTGTCAATATAAAATTACTCTGTCCTTGGATGAACAAATTCAAACCTATGGAACGTTGTACAATCTGAACGTTGCAACTCAAAGCAGGCCCACTTATTCAAGAAGATCAATATTTCAGAGTATTCCAGCCGGAACTGGCGCCGTCGCGGCGTCAGGCGCACGGAGCCCGACGAAATTCATTCACTGTTGAGCTTGAACTGTTCGGGTTTGAATCGTCAAATGTTCTGAAAAAGTTTGAAACTTCACCTTTGCCACACAGGCGCACTCCCAAGGCACTGATAAATGGATGACAACATCGGCAGTGGTTCACTGGCGGAATCAGGCTTTTCTGACTATCTCTGGTTCGCTGCTGAGGCTCATTTTTGCTCAGCAGCCAAGTCCGATCAAATGGCAATGTGTTTCGGCGAGTAACCAAGCCCGCTGTCGTACTGCAGCGACCCCTATATTCAGTGACTCGCACCGCATGGGTGGCGATGTGTAAGCATGGGCTTCTGGGATCATTCTGTGTCAAAGAAGACGGCACCCGCGCGGCAACAATGAATATGTAGCGGTGCATTGAGGCTTCGGAGAAGTTCTGGTAGCATCTAGGCAGAGCACACGGGTAGAGGCGTACCAGTCAGTGGTTTCAACAGAATATTATTGCCACGGATTAGTACAGTAGTTCCCAGATATTTTCGGTGACAGAAAGATTAATCGCCAACTTTAATAAATGGCCGCATTATACAGTCAATACAAACTTGATTTGCATTCGGATTCAGATCCGGAATGACATGAATCATTCTAAATGCACTGGAAGGGGATCAGATTAGGCCCATTGGACAAGTAAAATTGTGATTCAATTTAATATCAAGCAGTCACTGAATGAGATTCGTATTCAGTTTCATGCACTTTGAGCTGGATATGAAACATATTTCACCCGAGCAGAGGCCAAAACATGCCTGGTCGCGCCGAATGGGTGTCATTTTCAGTATGGCGGACTGACCCGTAGCAGCCGGGCCGCGCAGGACATTTGCCCACCTGAACAGTTTTGCGCAGATGCTCTTAGAATGATGTTTCAATCGTGAGAAGACATTTCGTGTGCAAGTTGTGTTACCAGTACT